CAGTTTGAAACCATGCTATGAAGGCGGCATCAATGGTGGTGAGGTACCTTCTTTGTTTATAGAATCCTATGATTAGTTATACACTTGCATTTCGCATCTGTGTGGTAATGTACAATTTGAAAATTATAGGTGGCAGCTCACATCCTGCAAGAGACGGCTATTGGGAAAAACTACGCTTCAGATAAGGTAATTGAACTTTAACTGCGAATTTTTATTTTTTTTATTTTTAATTTTTTTAAATCGACTTGTAGATTTCATAGAACTTCAATGCCAAATAGTTTGTTAGCACTAGTCAGATACAATTTCACAGGGTGTGGAAACTGATAAGCCAAACTGTGCAAAATCTACTATATTTCAGTCATATAAAAATCCCACTTTTCTCTCACTAACATGTAGCTAAGTGGGGCAAGAAGATTGCGTGATGCCATAATTCTTGGGTATCAACTTCAAAGGGCACCTGGACGAGATATGGCAATTCCTGAATGGTATGCAAATGCTGAAAGTGAACTTGGAATTGGATCACCTACTTGTGGAATGAGCGAAAATGGCTCCCTAATGTACTCGTGAGTTGTATCTTCTATTACTACTGTTGTTAAGAATTAATTGGATACTTATTCTAACATCACTGCAAATCTACTTTTAGATGCACTGAAGATTTTGAGATTCTTCATGGAGATCTTCATGGTCTTTCAGATACGACGACTTTTTTGAAGAGCCTGGCGGAACTAGATTCTGTTTATGACTCTGAAAAAACTACTGAGAAGCGCCGGGAGCGCAAGGCTGCAGCTGGACTCTTCAACTGGGAGGTCTCACTTAGTTCAACTCAATCTCATAGCCTGTCTTAGGTTTTCAAGTTTTTCAACAATTCCAAATGGTTGATGTAGATGACATATAAATTGATACATGAATAGTTACATCACAAGTCATAACTTGTTAGATATGCATTTGTATTGGCAATTTAAGATTAACTAAACACCTTGCCTGTGTTGTTTAGGAGTTTGGCTTAGGAAGAATTATAGATGTATTCATAGTTTCAGAAGCTGAACTGTTTTTCCAATGATTTTACTGAGTAATTGTATTTGATTTTTGGGACACAGGAAGAAATTTTTGTAGCTAGAGCACCTGGACGGTTAGACGTAATGGGAGGGATTGCTGACTATTCAGGAAGCCTAGTCTTGCAGGTTTGTCTCTGTATTTCATGGATATTAGTTATTCTGTCTGCAAAGCGTACTATTGCCACTGGGCACAGTGTATCATGTATGCACACTCACTGGTGCACAGACACATACACTTCTGTGTACACCTATTGTTGAAACAGAAGCCTAGTATAAAAACAGGACTCATGGGACAAAAACCTTGTCTCTCCTCCTGATGGTTTCTTCTGATGTTCTCTCTCACAGATGCCCATAAAAGAAGCCTGCCATGTTGCTGTTCAACGGAATCATCCAAGTAAACATAGGCTCTGGAAACATGCCCTGGCCCGGCAGCAGGGACAAAACCCGACGCCTGTCCTGCAAATTGTAAGTGTAAGCATTAAGAGTCAATATGTCGTTTAAGTGTTGGAAGCGGGGTTGTCTTCATCTTTGGGGTAGTGAGGAAGGGTTAGAATGTAGATATAGTTTCTCCTATTGGCATGATATAAACTTTGGTTGCTATTTTTCAAAGTTATCCCGACAGCCTAATGAAGGAAGGCTGTGTGGAAATACCTTCTCTCAGAAATAGAAATAAAAATAATTATCGTTACCATTTTCATAATTGGTTGTATCAGGTCTCATATGGTTCAGAGTTAAGCAACCGTAGCCCAACGTTTGACATGGATCTATCTGATTTTATGGATGGAGATAAGCCAATGTCATATGAGAATGCAAAGAAATACTTTTCACAAGATCCATCCCAAAAGTGGGTCAATCTTCCATCTTTAATTTGTCTGTATCTGTAACTTTGTGAACTACTGACATGGTTTCAATTTTAGGTGGGCAGCATATGTTGCAGGTGTCATTCTGGTTTTAATGACAGAACTAGGTGTACGTTTTGAGGATAGCATCAGTTTGCTGGTATGAGTTGGCATTTCGTTTAACATGTTGATTTAGTCCTATCAACTAGCTCAAAACTTTGTATTATAGTGCTTCGCTGTTCTATACTTTATTATGCGCTGTTCAGTTGATATGTATAGTTTACTCTTCGGTTGCTTAAATTAGCTGATTGTCGTTTACTATGACCATAATCTTGACTTCGCTGCTTGCAATAACATACAGGTTTCCTCCTCCGTCCCAGAAGGCAAAGGTGTCTCTTCTTCTGCTTCTGTGGAAGTCGCTACCATGTCTGCCATAGCTGCTGCCCATGGTACTTCCATTATTCAACTTAGGCTTTTTAGCCGTCTATTTGTACTTTCAAAATATGAGAAAATGTCTAAAACCGACCCCTTTATTTTGTAGGATTAAGCATCAGTCCCAGAGATCTTGCTTTGCTTTGCCAAAAGGTTACCCCCTCAACAGTAGTCAGCATACTACTGCTTTCCTTTTGAAATTACATTAATGTTGATTTTTCTAAGTGTATGTTAGGTGGAGAATCATATTGTTGGAGCCCCATGCGGTGTCATGGACCAGATGACATCTGCATGTGGTGAAGCAAACAAGCTTCTTGCAATGGTGTGCCAGGTATCCGCTGTTGATGTTGCAGAAAACAACTCTGCTGCTGCATTTTATGTATCAAAAAACTGTGTCAAGTGTTTTTTTTGTTTTGTTCTCCCTACAGCCTGCTGAGGTTCTTGGACTTGTAGAAATTCCTGGCCATGTCAGATTTTGGGGAATTGATTCAGGAATAAGACACAGGTAGAAGATCAACGGCCTATCGTCTTACATATTAACAAAATCATAAGCTTTTAAATGGCCTTAAGAATCCTCAAATAAGGAATTGTACTTAAGCCTTGCGATTTTACTTCTTGGATAGTGTCGGAGGTGCAGATTATGGATCTGTTCGAATAGGTGCCTTTATGGGTCGGAAGATGATAAAGTGTGCAGCTTCTATGATTTTGTCCCGGTCATCATCAACTGCAAATGGGACAAACGGTGATGAGTTGGAGGATGATGGTTTTGAACTACTTGAAGCTGAAGCCTCATTAAATTACTTGTGCAACCTGTCACCTCACAGGTAATGTTTTCTATGGGACTTTTAAGTAACTTGTTAATAATTAAGGTGCACTTACCGGCCAAAAGACAAAGGCGACGTTTTCAGCTAAATACTTTTACGTCTGTATTAAGGGAACTGTTATTAGCACTTCAAAAATCTTATTCTACACTCCTCACAAGTGTATTTTTCTTTCTAATTATAGAAAGTTTGGAGTGCCAATGAGATTTTAGGAGTGCTAATAACAATCCTCCTGTATTAATCCTATAATAGTTTATCAATATGTTTTCGTAACTTGAACTTCAGATATGAGGCTCTTTATGTTAAGGTGCTTCCTGAGACTATACTTGGTGAAACTTTTCTTGAGAAGTATGATGATCACAACGATCCAGTTACAGTAATTGATCCAAAATGTAACTACGTAGTAAGATCACCTGCTAGACATCCTATATATGAAAATTTCCGGGTTAAGGTTAGTGCCGGAATTTTATATGACGATGCTTGTGTTTCTTGTTATTCTTATTATGGACTATGATTCGATCATCTAAGTTATTTTGGTATTTACTTGACTTGAAGACATTCAAAGCACTGCTAACATCTGCAAATTCAGATGATCAGCTTACAGCTCTTGGAGAATTACTGTATCAGGTATGTACAAATTTCTGAATTTGCATGATCGTTGAAGAAAACGTGAAATTCAAACTCCACTTCACAAACACAGAAAAGAGAAAATAGAATAAATGTATTCAGTCTGAGTTTTAGTACGGGAATTGAGTTGAAACATCATTTCTATTGACAGTAGTCTTGGTAGATTAACCGGACAACGATCCCAGCACACACTCGTGAAATAAAGAAAGAAGGAGATGCGCACCCCTAAAATTTGAATCATGATATGATTATTTTCATATAGGTTCAGAAACATTTTACGCATTGGTTCCATGTCACGAACAAATCTCGGGCTATTTGTTGGCTAGCCAGTACCTGAACATAATCTTCTTTTACAGTGCCACTACAGCTATAGTGCTTGCGGACTTGGCTCCGACGGAACAAACCGGCTTGTACGGTTGGTACAAGCGATGCAAAATGCTAAATCATCTAAATCCGACGACGGGACATTATACGGAGCCAAGATTACAGGCGGAGGTTCTGGCGGAACGGTTTGTGTAGTCGGAAGGAATTCTCTGCAGAGCAGCCAACAAATTTTGGAGGTAATTCTATCAGGAAAAAAGTATTTTGTCTTAAACGTTACTGCAGTAGCTACTAGATTTTCCCTTTTTATTCCTGTGGATTACTGGGGTGCTGTTGATTTTGATCTATGCAGATTCAGCAGAGGTACAAAGATGCAACAGGGTATCTGCCATTTATTTTCGAGGGCTCGTCGCCCGGTGCCGGAAAATTCGGGTATCTAAGAATACGCCGCCGCGTCTCCCTCGATCCAAATGAGTAATGTATTGGAGTATAAAATGTCTAGTAATTTGGCTTAAACTTAAGCCTTCTATTCAAGGATCACATTTGGTACAACTCTCTGTAGACGAATTGGCAGTATAACAATATTATTTATTCCAAGCCCAAATAATATTATAGAACATTTGATTTCGACTCTAATGTTGATTATATTATATATACTAATAATTTTTAAAGTCTCGTGAGGCTTCACTTCACACCTCAATGCTTTCGCCCAAGCGGGGTTGCCTATAAAACGTCTTGACTTCGCCTTTTAAAATATTGTTGTATATTAAAAGCACGGATATGAAATTTTTTTTCTTTTGTTTCCAACCAGCAATTCGTATAAGTTTGGTGCAACATTGCTTTGGAAACATATAATTCCGATCAGGCAAGGAAAAAAGTTGAATACTTCCAATATCATCCAAACCTTGAGCCAAAAGAAACTTAACAATTAATCATAACTCCATAAAACTTGTAGATGCTGGTAACAAATACTTGTCCTTGGTAAATGCTTCAAACAACTACAGAAAGTTGCTTCAATTATTACGAAATACGCTGAATACGGATCATAGAATGACAGATACGGTTTATACGGATCAGTATCTACAAACTGAACCTAGAATTATGACACTGGTGGATTCTCGCGATCCTGCTGAAAGAAGGACTCGTATGTTGCAACCCTCGGCTTTGCTTCAGGCAGCTCCAGCCCTTCCATAAAACCGGAAGTCATCTTGAGGAAATCTTTCATGTGTAATTGTTTCCATTCCTTCCCATTTTAAAGGGATCAAAGCAACCAAGAAAGTCAGACACAAGAGAATTAGGTATTCTAACAATAAACAATGTTGGTAGAGAGCTAACTTCTAGTCTTCTACTTAACGAAAAAACTATACGCATCCATATTATCGATACTCAAACACATAGGAGTCTTCTTCCGTTTTGTTTACTTAATTTTGTTTTTGATTCTCCTAAGAAGTAGAAGAGCGAAAGGTAAAAGAGTTTACCTCAAAATTCCAATCTCCATACAGGTTTGGATCATTTTTGTTGCTCCAAACATAAGCCTGAGCTAGCAAACTCTCAGAACTATCCTGCAGAAGAGAAAAATTGCCACCCTCCCATTAAATCCACAAACTTCTTGAGAAAAAAGGCGTACAACAACGTTTCTTAACAAAGGCACCAAAGATCACACCAAGATATTTCCCAAATTTGGTGAGAACTGACGAAAAATGGCTTGCTTCCGTCGCATAAAATGCATCAAAATTGCAAATTTTTAGAGCTTCCCAATCCTACCCAGGACACCAATTGATAGCGTATAGCCAAAGCTTAAGCCTTTCCCAAACATTGTCTTCAATTTGACATTTCCACAGCATACTAATATGTAAGTAAATGGTATTTTTTTTTCTTCTGATTAACGCGGTATTCTAAACTAGTCTAATATGCGGAAAGACGATACAACTGGAGGTGAAAACGGTGGGTGATTAGAATTATAAAGTGCAAGTGAGTGAAAGGGAATACCATCAAGGAGACCTCAACAGAGCTCCTCTCATACTCCACATCCTCAAATTCATCTAAAATATGCAATTCAGGATCTGTTATTTCCAATAACACCTGCTTAAACAAAACTTGATTCATTATTATTCTTATTTAATAAAAAATAATTCACAATTTACGTGACTAATTATTATGTCATCTAATAAACTTGATTAAGAATTAGAACTTGCCTTGCCAGCAACTTTTTTATTCTCGACCGGAAGAATCGCCGGATAAACTCTTCCTTTGATGCTATACCTATCACTGATCATTAATAATTACCTAATCATTCACAAATTTCAATTCTTTTGCAATTTTTTTTATATAATTAACAATAAAAACAGATAATTAAGTTGAGAGAGAGAGCGAGACTGACTAGCCATTGAGAATGGCAGGGGAGGATTGAGGGACACGATTTAAGAGGACTCGGCAGACATCCTCCGCCATGAGGCTGCCGTACACGAACACCTTGTGAGGCTATGCGACTGACCACCACCGTTCGCCACCACTGAGCTCATCGCACCACCACTCATCTCTCTCTCTGCGACTCTCTCCTCTCTCTCTCTCTCTATTGGAATATCTTTTGTGTGGAATTCATTCCGAGTTGGAACCATACGACGTGTATTTTTATTTTTTAATTTTTTTGAGTGACGACGATTTTTATTTTTTTTGAGCGACGACTTGCAATTTGGTGGTCAATTTTTCTAGGCCGTGTCTCTACCCGATTCGCCAAAAACGACCTCTCAAATATTCATCAATTTTATTGAATTTTTACATGCCTTTCCGAATTTATACAATGAAATTATGTTTTACGCATGTTACATTCCTTGGTAAAACTTCTTTAAGATCCGAGTCCTGTAAACTCATAGTGCAACAACTAAATGCTATTACCCACTTGAGCTATAAATCGATTGATGATAACATAACACACTAGTGTGACACTTTCACGTTTCCAATACAGGCATGTTACAGGGGATTTATACTGCGTATTCCATTGTCAATTGAAGTTGTTTCATAAAAACAGGAGAAACAAGGTTTGTACTTTCGATGAGAATAAGGTAATGGCGGAAAATAACACAAAGAAGACGACACAATGCATGAGCTACAATAGTTACGGTGTAAGCATTTCTAGCTCCAAGTACTTCATGTTTTTTCTTAAAATCTGTCCAAGTTGAACCAACATACAACTAAATCACAAAAGATGAGCAACTTTTCCAAGATGGAGCCGAACACAATATTCCTCTCCGTAAACAAGAGTCATTTAGTTCAAAGAAACTAATAGAAAGTTGCCGGACTCGTGTCAGTTCGCAGCAACATCATCATATGTTCATTGGCTCGGGACTAGCAGTGTTCAATATGTCCAACAATGAGTTCTGAGGCTCCAACTCCTCATGCCACAGTGGAAGTTTGTCGCCAGGATAGTAGTTTCTTGTCACTCCCTCAGAATTTATCTGCAAAACCGCACAAACGATAAGGAAAGTAAGGGACTTAGCCAATCTATGGTCTTGTATGTTGGAACAAAAATGAAGTTACGATTGCTCAGTCACAAATACAGTTGAGGGAAAAAAGAACTTACAACTACAGTACGGACAACACCCCCACTGGCACCATCTCGTGCAATGGCGAGAGAAACAGCCTTGACCACCAATTGCTGCAACGATGCCACCAAAGATTTGTTAACAATAATGCTCAAAGTCAAACTTTACATAACAATAGCAATCTGTTATTTGTCACAGCAAATGCCTGCTTGATATCATCACCAGCTACATATTATATATGTTGGAGCACTAAAACGAAAGTTTTAGTACTGATTTCCTTTCCAAGGGTCAAAGCTTGCTTGCGATATTGTGGCATTTAAGTTAATTATTGATGCAAAATAGTGACCAGGTCAAGTGCCATGTAAACTTAGAACTTTTCATGACCAGTATGTTCTAATTACTAAAATTTTCAAGTACAAACATTAAGAGATAAATACCTCAGCTTCGTCCTTGGTCATTCCTTCTTTCCATGCTTGATCGAAAAATCCATACAAGTAACTGGAGCCAGATCCTACAAAGCAAAATATTATGTTAAGCCAAACTCGTGGGCAAAACTATCAAACTGAACCTTTTCAGAAGGCAAAATCACATTTAAAACTTCCAAAACAGGATGTGGAAACCAATCGCAATGATGTAGGATAATAGGAGTATGATATCTGAACATAACCCTTTTTGGAGCCAGAAAATATAAGTCGTTGGTCCCTCCAGTTATAGTCATTAACCCTAAGATGAATTCTTGGCACGTACTTGAGGCACATCCAGCATTACCAATTGATTGCATACATTACTAAACCCAACTTGATATTGTCCATAAAGTAAAACTTGAAACCAAGTCATACGTTACTAAAAATCCTATTTCAACCAAACAAATCCGATGACTTTCTTTGGTATAAGCAGCAAATTTACATCCCACAAAACATACAGAAACATATAAAGCGCACGTCATTACCCAATCACAAGCGGGAAACAGAAATTCGACCATGAAGTAAGAAATACTCTAGCATAGCATACCTCCAATGGCAAAGGGCAGCTCTAGCAGTGTGCCACCAAGAGGAATCCCATAAATCTTACCGCCTTCGTACTTGTCCCACCCGCCAACAATCAGTCCAGTTTCCAACATATTCTACCAAGTTCAAAACATCATGGTAAAAACACAAACACCACAAAACTACAAACGAAATCTCACACCACAATACCAACAAACAAGAAACTACAATAGCAAACAAAAACCCAACCTTGTTACCATAGGACAGCAGCCTGACGAGGTTTGCACAAACTTTGACGGTCGCAGGTTGTCCAAGCTGAATTCTGTGCAAGCACAAACCCATCAGAAACAAAAATCAAAGGAGAATCTTTTTTAAAAAAGTAAAAGATTGCAGGAAAAAAACGAAGGAAACACTGACGTGTGCTGATGAAGGAAGTAACGAACGTAATCGGAAACAACCTGGGAATCGGCAGCCTGCGAATCCCAAAAGGGTAAAACGTTGGAATAATCGGATTTTTTTTAAGAAATTGTAGGAAATTGAACAGAAGGAGGGAAATTTGACGAGATGGGTACCGATCCAGAGCGGCAGACGTAGACATTGTCGGTGAGCTGGGTGATTTTGTCGGAGGCGCGATTGGCCACGTATACTCCTGCAAGAATCAAAAGGCAATTTGGGTAAGTGTTGAAAGTGAAAAATCAACTTAGGGTTTTGGTGGAGGAGAGAGAGCGAGAGAATGAGGAGATTTACCGGTGCTGGTACGAGAGTCGGCGCCAAGGACGACGCCTCCATCGTAGGTGACGCCGATGATGGTGGTACCCATGGAGTGAGGGGCGTTGAGATCCACGTCGGAAGAAGCCATAACGAATCAAAGGTTGGGTTTTTCAGAGGAAATTGAATTTGCAGGGAGATAGAGTGGAGGGGTTGTTGTTAAGCTGACTTACTGCTCAAGTTCTTTGGATTTTCAATATTCTGGGATTTTGGGTCATTCGGCCCAAGAGATTGTTACATTTGGGCTTCAAAATCTTCATCGAGTCTCTCTACCTTTATTATCTCCAAGGATGTAAAATTTTTTAGGGCCCGTTTGCTAACGTTTTGTAAAACACTTTTTCGTTTTGCAAATATAAAAATAGTTGAAAAATGACAGAGAGCCAATACGAGAACGAAAAACGACAGTCATTCACTCATAGCCCTGGATTGTCTATCGACAAGAAAAGACGAGTGCAGAACTAAAAGTACTTTCTGACCACTCAAGCCAGTTGGTAGACTGACAACTTTCTGGCACAGAGTTCCAGAGACAGGTCTTTCCACACATCAACATCTACAAGAACAGGAGTCTATGAAAGGACATAAATACAATCAGACCTCTTGAGTAAAATGCTTTTCCAACACTCTATCGATGCGCTCGTTAGTGCCAACTCGAGAAATTGTGCAAATAGTTGTGTAAATGTCACTTCCTCTCTACGTGTCTGGTGAATAATGGAGAAATAAGCTACAGGTCGCATCTATGTATTTGCGCCATTTAATGACACAATTCCGAAGGGATGTTGTGGCCATATCTTCTTTAGGAGTTTTTAAACCTAAGAGGCAATGGGTGCATTGCCGTGGAAAGAATGCCAGATTTTTCGGAGATGTCTGAGAATGAGAGAATTGCATCTGAATCACTCCCCCAAACTCACTGAGATTCTAGGCCTGGATAACTCGTCTCTCTCTTATGTATGCATACATGCATGTATTAGTTGCTCATACAAATCTTGCTCCTCATAGTATAGGGGTGGAGTGCGAGCGGAAACGGTAACCTTTTTCTTCCTGGACTATGGTGGTTTAGGCGTGTCGAAACTAAGGAAGAAATCGATGAATATACGGTTGACTCTGTTTCCAGGTCGTATTCAAGTGAAAACAAGGAAGGCGGAAATCATAAGGCGGCAAAACCAGTTGCTGACTCGTACGATGAGAATCGATTTCACAAAATAATAGTAGGAAGGACGCCGGAAGCTTCAAGCGCTGTACTGGTATCCGATGTGTCGTCAACCGGAACCCATCGGAACTGCAAATTGGCACCAGTTGGACTTCCCACTTGAATGTTGTGATGTGTGGTTACGTTTCTTGGCAGGGGTTTGGTGTTGCACTTGCGCACATGAAGCTTGAACTACGAAAGTAAGGTCCAACTCCACATTGTTTCGATCTAAAAAACGAAATGTATGTACGTACATCCTCGATCACGTTGCGGATTGAAGATTTAGACGGGAAGGAAACTGTTGGTGAGATTGCTGAGAAGCAGAGACATAACATTGTAAAATAAACGAAAATGCGTATTTAAGCTGGGAATTGGAAATAAAGCACCACCATCATTGTATCATTCCTTTCATTAAGTAACTGTTACATCCCACATAGTTTGAAAGGGTAAGGAGTAAAAAATAGGGAAAAGAACAGCGGTTAGTTTATCCTCGTAATAATCCTGGAACATATTCCGAACCATGAATTTTGCCGCACTCAAACCTAAACTTTTCTAAGGCCTCTGAAAAATATGCTTAACCAAAATAAGAAACTAAGAAAAAAAAAAAGTCCGGAATAATAAGCCAAAAGAATCTTAAACTTAAACTAGGGAGATCGATATAACGGGGTTAGCACTCTGTAGCTTCCATCTGTGTTCAGAGGTTACGAGTCCATGGCGATGGCTTCCGGGAGAGGATGCAGTTGGAGGGCCGGGATGTTGGACTTGAGCGGAAGGTTGGTTGGCCCGGCAATTTCTTCTCCATCGGAAATCCTTTACCGGCTATTCCAAGAACCTTCCTCACCTCATTTGCTAGCTCTATCACATAGTCCTCTTCATGGCCTGTTCATGTCAGCAATTCGTTAATCAATCGTGTTTCTTGAAGAAACAAGCATCTAAACGTAATTAATGAACGAACTAGGACAAATTCGGTCATGGACCTCATGCATATAACCTTGATTCATAACAAGGAATTCGAACGATGAGTTTGCTCACCTATATCGAACAAAGCCTTCTCCAACAGAAAGAGATAGTCTCTATTGTTTCCGCAGGGCCCAAAAGCAGTTGCAATTTGCCTGAAAGGGGAAAAAACTTATCAGAAGCTGTAAAAACTATTTTGGAAACATTGTTACAACAATCAACATCAAAGGAAGAAGAAATGAAATCTGCAATACCTTGCCATGTTCTCCAGTGGAGCAGGACCCAGATAATACTTGTTCGATTCTTTGTCTGGAGTCGACGTGAAACTGCAATATCATGAACAAGTTCGGTTAGGGATACTTTGCACGTCCACAGTATTTCCCTCTCTTACATTATAATAGAGCAATTTTACATAAGATGAATGATATGTCAAGCGGGAAATGAGAGATCGACAACCAAATGACTTACACAATAACTCCTGTCAAAAATGGCTCCGACTGAGAGAACTCCCCTTCCTGTAGCGTACACAGAAAGCACATTTTATGACAAGCAGTACAAAACAATACCTAAAATCCCAAATATAAATTAAACTGGCTAGTCCGGGCATGAAGGTGGGAGTAATATTCAAACTACTCTTACCTTATAAAAGTCGACGAGAGCCTTTGAATCATACTCGCATTCTCTCCTTTCCAAGTACTGCAAATGAAAAGGAAATGTATAAGTATGGCTATTAGATAGCATGTTTCATAAACCAAAACGCCAACTAAAAATGCCAATTCTATCTCAGGCCATACTTTTTTCCTACTCTAGCAAGTGTAACCAACACAATTAACCGACAATATGCCACCACGATGACAAATTTACTTTTGAAGAAGCATACCTCCATTGCCAGTTTCTCCCTTTCCGGCCCTCCGCGTACAGAATACACAGCACCCCACTGTTGGACGAGATCGAATGTCAGAACGAAACACTAATTGAACCAACCATACAACAAAAGCTCAAAAATAATTGAATGTTCAATTAGATGGTTACTTACGCAAATAGCTCCTTCTTGGTACTCCAAAGTGCAAGTCCGAGCAGGGTGCTCAGGGGTACCTCTGTGATCTATGCAGGCTTCAGAATAGAAAAACAATATGACCACAATCAGTGACAGTCAAATGACAAGTAACGGATCGAAAAGTAGAACAACATATCCAATTTCTTCCTCAACAACAGAGATTAGAGAGACATACCAAGATCAAATACACGCCGGTAGTCCTTGATGTAACCTATCACCTTCTCGTCGTACTCGAATCCGGGGTTCCACACAAGTGAACCATATCCAAAGATCCAGAATACCATGGCTGCGTTTGACGACTGCAAAAACTACATTGGTGTAAAAATCCAAAGCTCTGATACAGCAAAGCCCAATGATGCCTCGCTTTATAAAATTAATAATACTAAAATTAAAAAGCTTCAAACTTTATTTTCTTTTTCAGAAAAAAGTTGACTTGATAAATGCATAAATCGTTGAAAATGCGGATAAATGCATAAATCATTGAAAATGAGCTAGAGGAATTGATTTTCTCCATATTTGGGAATTTTCCCAAAAGTGAAACATCAAGTTCGAACTTTTCCAATGTTCCCCTTTTTCCCATTTTCCCAGCAACCAAACAGAAATTGAAAATCACCAGCATTGTCATCCAACCAAAATGAAATTCAAGATTTACAGAGGAATCGAGAGCTTACAACGAAGATTGAAGAAATTTTCCCGAGAAAAAAAGCCGAGATGAAGTGTTTGGAGAAACTCCTGGGGCGAACTGATTCGATCGATCGAGAAAGCGAGAAGAAATCGACGGTGGTCGTTTGAAATTGCGGTGGCAGGAAAGAGAGAAACGAAAAGAGAATGGAAGCTAAACGCCGCGTTTAGGGTTTAGCTTCTGGATTTGGGGCTTTTGTTTCTCTCTCTGTCTCTCTCTCTCTTCGCCGCGTCTCTCTCTCTCTCTTCTGGGTTTCGCTCGATGAGGGAGGAGGGAGACGAGAGCCCTCCGTATTTATGAAGCAGAAAACCCGCGTGAGTGTGGAGTGCGTGATTTGCCACGTGAGCTAGAGTTGTCGTTGATGTTTGTGGTATCGATTTTGTATCATGTGCATCCATCACATCATCTCATCCATGCAACTACTGTTTTTTTTTTTTTCTTCTTTGTTATTTATTTATTTACTTATACTGTTGTTTTTTTAGTCAAACATTTTTTGAAAGAAGCACTAGATATGTGCTTCTTGCAGGAAGCATTTAAAATGCTTTTGAAATGACTAAAAACGCTTTCTGAGAAAATATTTTTGGGTTCTAAAAGAACTTGAAGTGATTGCTCTAAGAAGCACCAGTTATGTGTTTCTTCTAAAAAAACTTGATTCATTTGCGTTTTTACTAAGGATTGGTTCCAAAAATATTTTCATGTGCTTTCAGTAATTTTAAAAACATTTACAAACAAGCATAAGGTTGTTTGTTATGGCAATAAATAATGATTTTACGCATTCTTCTAGCCTCGTACACATTTTTTTATTTTTAGACACTAAATTGAATAAATTAAGATATATCAACAGATAATATTAAATAAAAATATGTGAAAGATAAAAATAGAATACGTGAGTAGCAAACAACTTTGTAAAATAAAAATCTAATTAAAATAATAGGGTAAGGTGAAAAAAAAAAAGCAAGTGACTAAAAGGGTTAGGACAAAGTCCAAGTTTCTAAATGTCAATATTTTAATTGAAGGTTGGAATCAAACATGTTGACTGATTAAAAAGTCCATAATGGCTATAGAAGGTCTAGAATGGCTAACTAAGGACGGTTTGAAAGGGTATAATTCTCTAAGAAAAAAGGTTGCGCTCTTTATTTTTTTATTGAAATGGTTGTGACTTCTTTCAATAATTTTCTATTCATTTCACAACTTATATTTAGGTAACGAAGTCCAAAGTTAACCTCAAAAGAAAGTTCAAAATTAGTCATGCAAATGCCTAGTTCATTGTTATTATTAAAAATATTAAGCTATCTTTATGGGATGAATACTTTAAACTCATTTTTATATATGTAAATGGAAAATCAATCGTGTAAGTTTTGCTACCACAACATCATATGAAATTACAAGAATCTTTTGTAGTCCATTCATTATCTTATCTTTATATCTTCCAACTTGCATGTATTAAGCATATCACCAGTTATCATCTCGGGATCAAACTCTCCAAATTTTGCTACCACATCATATAAAATTCTAAGAATCTTTTGCAATCCATTCGCTATCTTATTTTATCTTCTATATCTTTATATTCACATTTTTTGAAATAAAAATAAAAGATTACCAAATCAGTATGTTTTCTTTTCCAATTATTATACTTAAAAGCACAATTTCTTTTTATTTTTGTATCTCGAAATAAACAAATCATTAATTACACTTTTTATTGCCAAAAATTAGGTAATTGTTCAAAATTTGCATCCATATTCCATACCATACATGTCCATCTCATCCAACCACGTCGTATGTCCACATACATAACCATGACGTTTGTCCACATAACTAACCATGATTTATTGCCAGTTTGGTGCAACGTAAAACCGAAAAGCAACTAGTCAGGTTCATTGAACCGGGACAGCTTTACACAGCTGTTATCGTTTTCCGCGTTGTGGAATTACGGTGGAATTACGGCTTTAATTGCCGGTCCAATTGCCCGGGAAATCGTGTCACAGAAGTCATCAACTAGACAAAACAACTTATTTGGTTCAATGAACCTGGACGCTAATTCGGCGCCTAAAGAGAACCCTACAGCTCTATCGAGATGGTGGGGTGGGGTGGGGTTAGGCGAGGAAGGGGATTCCCGAATCCGAAGTACAGTAGGGATTCTGATTCCTTTGTCACTTGGACGTTGGACCTTCCGTTGCGTCAATATTCCAAATTCCAAGTTGAGTTTGCTGCTTTTCATGTGTAGGATTCCAACAAGGAATGGTGAGACGATAAGATGTGGTGTGATGATTGAAGTGGCTGCTGAGCCAACGATCTTTGAGAGGCTTCCGTTCAAGGGAAGAAAATGTGCTTCTCGGTTGGAAAGTTTTCGAAGGTTTCTATCTGTCTATCTACTATGTATTTATCTTTTGATTTATCTTAATTTGATTATTGTCTGATAAATAAAGTATCAGAATTTAACTGTAACTTTTGAAATTAACGTTTGATAAATAAAGTATTAAGATTTGACTGTAAATTTTGATATTAACGTCGAAGATATGAAGAAATTTTTAATTGTGACGGGAACATGAATTGTACACCACATGTTTTTATGCAAATGGTGGAAAATTTTAATTTTAAGTTCTTTTTAACACACATAACCCACAATTTCTATAGGAACATGTGATGTATCATCTCATGTAACAGTCACACTAAAAAATCTCTTAAAAATATGGGATGATAGATCGTTGTACTCATTCATATTTGTGACTTGCTGTTGAGTAATAGTTAGAACTATTGAGTTTTGCATGAAAAATGCGGGTGAATCTGTGATTGCGCGCAAGCATACTTTGCATGTCAGACTCATGAGTTGTGCATGCATATAAAGTGTACGTATATGAGTTTTTGAATGCACGAGTATTTATCGAGTCTTATTGCTAATGAAGAATAAACAAGTAGCGCATGTTCTTTTTGTCTTGGGAGTAGTTTGGGCGCGATTGGTTTGCTTGTACTCAACAACACACACACACACACGTACTTGTCAGTCTACAAATTGGGATAAATGTAATTTTAAATTTGTGTGTATGATTTTCAAGTCATTGTATAATGTAAGTCTAAAGAATACGGTTAAATATTAGGGGGTTCTCCATTTTAATCCTTGATAAAGATTGAAATTCAATTAAAACCTTATGTTAGATTATATATTCATTAAGATCTAATGCCTTTTTTTGTTTCCATAATGCCCATATCAAATATTTGGCTTAATTTTGCCCCATATAGTTTGGGATTGATTATTGTTTAACTTTCTCAATTGATTAACATACCTCATCTAGACGTCCAAAAAACTCTTAGTGATACGTTGCAAGAATTAAACAAATACCTAATTTAAATTATTCATTATCATCATCCAAAGCATAGAGGAAATAAAAATACCCAAATCATATATTATACATAATCAAATGCACTAAAATCATGTCCTAATTAATGTGCTTAAATCATAGTACATAGTCGAATGCACATAAATCATAGTACCAAGTCAAATGCACCTAAACTATGGTACCTACTACAATGCACTCACTAGTAGAAAAAGCAGCTTGAGCGATGAAAAAAAATTTCATCGCCTAAGTGGCACTTGCGCGATGAAAAAATAAATTCATCGTGCAAAAATGGTAGGATAGAAAAAAAAAACTTTCTGAAACGAAAACATTCATCGCATAAGAATACTTCGCATGACGAACACATGTGGTTGTCGCGCAAGAAAAAAAAGGGAAAATTTTTTTTGCTGCCAAATGTTTACACGACGAAAATTTTCAACGCAAAGTTTCACTGAAACAGTCAGATACCTTTCAACCGCTCCCATTTATAATGCATTTTGCGTGACAAACCACTTCGTCGTGCAAAGTGTTATGGGTTCTATATAAACACTTTAAGAGCCCTAGTTTTCAAAAGTTTTGTTTCAAAGGCAATGGCCGATTCAGTTTCTGATTCAACGAAAAGTTGCGTTAAAGAAGGCTCTCGTGAAGGGAAAGGTAAAAAAGAAATTTACTGTTGAATTAGTTGTTTTAATATTTGATATGGATGAAATTATTTAATACTTATAAAATTTTGTGGTAGAAAAAGATATAAGGAAAGGTGTGTTGCGAATAGAGATGTACCATCGTAAACGAGTGCCCTACTTTGAAGACAAAAGTAAGGTTGATGCGTACACTGAACTTAGGTTTCTTATTAGGGGTTTGGTGTGGAGCCAATGTTTTGCTGAGTTTGAGTCTTGGAAAATGGTGCCTGAGGAGTTGAAGAAGTCCATGGTGGGGGCGTTATCGGTAAGTTTGTATTAAAGAATATATAATTATTTTTGTTAAAAAGTAGTATTTTTTAAATTACTAATTTATTGTTATTGACATTAATATATGTTTATTGGAATGTTGATGAAACTAGGGCTGGAAAAAAATCCCAAAAATCCCAAACCAAACCGAAAAAATTTCGATCCCAAACCAAAATTCCCGAAATTTTCGGTATGTCATCCCGAACCAAACCGAAATTTTCGGTACGGGATTCGGTATTGCATCTCCATTTTTTCGGTATTCCCATACCGAACCGAAATAAATATTATATATATATATATATTATTTTTTAATTATAAGAGAATTTCAACCATTCATTGTTTTAGATTTAATCTGTGCCCTTCATTTGTTTTTAGGTTAGATCCCCCATTTCAATTTTCACTTCCGTTCCATCAAGAGCTTGAAGCGCAGCCGCTGTAACACCAGCCTTCCTTCATCAGAATCACCACCCAGTTTGGCTTATAACTATTATTTTTGCTTTTGAGTTTGTTACTTTATTTATTTTAAAACATTGGCTTGTAACTATTATTTTTGCTTTTGGGTTTGGTACCTAATTTATTTTTATTGCATGCATGATGCATGTGTAGTGGGCAGATTGAAACTTTGTTATTATTGAAACTTTGTGCACAAATAGGCAGTGGGTAGATTGAAACTTAATTTATGAAACTATGTCAAATTTGTGCAGTGAGCAGTGGGCAATGGGCAAATTAGTAGAAATAACAAATTGGCAGTTTGGGCCCAAAAGCATAATATGTCAAATTTTAGTCCAAAAGCTCAAAAGCATTTCGGGATTCCCGATTTGTCCCAAAATCCCGAAATTATTTCGGGATTCCCAAAAATTGGGATTCCCGAAAATTTGGTTTGGGATTGGTATTGAATTTGGGATTCCCGAAAATTTCGGTTTGGGAATCGGGACAAGGGTTTCGGTAT